TGGATCAATGATGACTACGTACTTCTGGCTGTTATTGTGAAGCCTATTGACAAATGCTAGCATTTTGTCAACTGGGAAGTTGATTGGATCAAGAGTGAAGTCTTTGTACGCATCCATGTAGTCTATATCTGTCCACATGACCTCTAGAGGTATCCCAGCCTTTGCATAACCATCGACAACACTTTCCAAGTCCGAGACGTTCTTGTACCCATACCGACACTGGTGAAAACCTATACATTCAGAAAGAAGGGGGGAAAATTTCAGCATTTTCAGAATTCGAACCACCTGGTATCACAGAAATACTTACCAAATGCCCAGTATGGCATTGGAGCTGGCCGTCCAATGAGCTCTGTATACTGATCCATCACTGCCACCGGTGAGGGACCAGAGAAGAAGTACAAGTCAAAAATCCCTCCGATCACCTTATAACTAATACTAGTCCCTGTATAAGTTATATCCATGCCGTTACTGTTGAGTAGAAGAACCCCGTGGGAGATCCCACCAGGTCTGACATCCAAATAGAACGGGTGTGAGCCGTAAAGGGGCAAGTCGAGGTTTGAAGCAGCAATGTCAGAATTCCATAATGTATACGTGTCGCCTGCATTGAGTTTGAATTGCTTCTTTGTGTGTTCACCGAGACCATAGAGCCAGGATCTGTTGTTGCCGGGCAATGAAGATGAGATTTCCAGGTACTGGTCTTTGAAGACAATGCCAGGGGCTGTTGTATTGAAAAGTGGGTCACTATCTTTGGCAGAGCGACGGGTGACGGTGAAGGTGAAGGGCGTGCTGTTATTGAGAGTGAAGATGAGGTCAGAATCACTGATAGAGAGTACATGAGGAGATTCCTGGAGTATAACTTGGCTGCGTTCTGACAGTGAACGGTGAAAATTTTCTGACTCTCGAGGGATGATCTGGGCAGGAATTTCCCATCTGGGTTGGTCTGTGTCTGTGATCTTGACTCGTAGACGATTGGAGGTTTCAAAACTGATAGATGAACAATAGAGATAATAACTGTATTATGCATGGATATGAAGGAAATGACCACTAGTAGAAGCTGTTCATGAGAACGATGAGATTGAGAAGAGCTAGCATTTTTTTAGCAGAAAGTACAGGTTGAGGTAATATTAATCGTTTACATTGCAAATAGATTGAGATTCCGGATGTCCGGACCGTAGACCGACGTGCTATTGATGAGCTGCAGCTTGGCAGCTAATGACTTGCCAGAGGGGTCTATATGGACCGAATTCACCTTGTAGCCATTTCCAGTAGGTTCATCTTGAGAGAGAGAGAGAGAGCAGGAGAAACACAGAGAAATGAAGAAGAGCAATCGACGATAAGGTTTCATCCTCCCTCCTGTTCTTTTGAATTTGACTTTTGACTATGGATTAATCCAATTAGCTATCCTCTTATGAAATATTTTAGGCAGATGACACATAACTTGCCGTAACTTGCGGGTCACAAAATTGTCTCTTTCATGTGCCTGCTCAATTACTAGCGATGCTGACCTCTCGCCTTGTTATTGGTCATGGAAGCAGCATTTTCCTGCAGTCTGCAGATAGCGCAACATTTCATTTGATAATCCTACTCCTGTTCAGATTTTTTTTAAGGCTGGTTGGTTGCTGGCTTTGATGCAGTTGGATGCTAGATATTTTTGGCTGTATACAGGTCAGACCATTGTAGAGCTTGACGTCTTTGCCTTTCTTGGACAAATATTGATACCAAACATTTATTCAATTCTACACGTATTTTCCCTAATGAGTACTTAGGAGTTGCTACTTCCCAAGTACCTGATCCCACCCCTCTATATGACTGAGCTAATCTTTCTTGATACTTGGCGTCTAGCATGAACATAATGTGCTTTCATTTGTTTCAGATTCTATGGCATGCATCTAAATTTAAGTATATATGTGTAGAGATTTGCATTATAAGGGGAAAATACCTCTGCCTTAAAATAATTGTCGGTGTTAATTTGCCTAATAAGTATTGACATTATTAAATTTCCAGCAATTCACAAAGTTTTTAGGCATTCTAGGCATTTAGAATGTACTGGTTTCTGTCTAAGATTAGCATACACATATTATGCTCGATGTATCGTACTTATAGATGGGCATACAGTAAACAATTCTATGTATGTATCTGCCGTGCGTGGACACCATAGTCAGAAACTTTATATAACACTGTCAGAAACTATAACACACAATTATCAGTCATGATATTTGGAAGATTTCATACTAGTCTGAAATTGAAAAACTACAAAAAAAAAAAAAAGCTTATGAAAATTTCTGCTTTGCTAAGTCCTACAACTAAGGCGAACATTGTTTCCTTATTCTCCAATTTCTACTTGGGCTGGCTCCTAAGCTTGAGTTTCAACTCAAAATCCTTCCCAATGTAATGTGACAGCCCCCTGATCTCAGCAACATCAAACCTTCCTCTTCTTCCATAACTAGCTTCACTCTCCCTTAGCATTCTTCCATTCACAAACATAGCAGTAGTTCTGTTCTGATTCGATTCTGGCTTCAATCCAAGAAACACCACTTTCTTCACCAGCATCTGGTGATCTTGAGCATAGGTGCCATTTACGACATTCGAGTCAACAACTACTGAATCACCTTCAATCCTGCTAGTGAACCTGATCAAGCTCCATTCACTCTGGTTAACTCCCATCTCTAGCACATCTCCGTCATCCATAAACACATCCCCAGTTGCGTTGCCAAATTCATCAAGAGCCACTACTAGCTCATATCCACTCTCTCTCGCTTGCCGAGTCGTATTTGCCTCATCTTGCATGACCAAGATACTCCCTCCTCTGACATGAACATTGATACTGTCATCCGGTGCATCAAGGGTCACATACCTCCCTGCACTTGTATTAACCGCCATCGAATAGTTAAACAGATTGAACCATTTTCCTGCTGGGAAATAGGCATTCACTGATCTCATTCCTGGCTTTAGTACCGGCGATACCATCACTCCTTTTCCAATTAGGAACTGTGTGTTGATCCCGTACGTCTCTTTTATCTTGCTGAATATGTGAAGAAGAGCGGTCCGCTGTATGGGGCATTCCCTTAGTGTGGCCTCTACATAGCTGTATAGAAGTAGGGGAGAAGGCGATAGCGAAGGCCAAGCGCTTTTTTTGCAGCTGCTGCAACTGAAGGCCAGTTGTAGAGCTCTTGTGCCGTTGAGTTGTAGCTGGCATGGTTTCTTGAAAGAGGGTAGAAAGCACCAAGCTTCACAGAAACAAAAGAACAGATTATTAGGTTCATTAACCTTGTGAATTTTATGGTTAATATTTGGATTGACTGCTTACCTGAATCCACCGTCGACATAGTTCTTCTGTTGTGTGACCTGAGAAGCCACAAATGTCTGCACCGACCATTGGAATCCCGAACAGACCGAAATTCAAGATAGTTGGGATTGAGTAGGCCAAATCTTCCCATGTTGCAGCATTGTCACCAGTCCAGTGACCTGCATATTGTCCTGAACCAACGAATGTGGATCTACTGATGACAAAGGGCCTCTTCTTTATAACTTTGGCCAATGCAGCATGAGTCACCCTTGATTCAGACAAGCCATTCAAATTGTGGACATCATACTCATTTAGGTTGCCATAGTGGACGCTGGATGCTGGAACTGTCTGGTTGTTGATTGGCCGCTGAACTCCGGCGTTGTTGATTTTGTAAGGTGGGTCATCAAGGTAGTTGAGAGGGGAGGGGTCGATGAAGTTTCTGAGCTCATTCATGTTGAGCCAAAGACCATCAAAGGGGATAACCTTGTGAAATATGCTGATCTCTCGAGCCCAGAATTTGGTTGCTTTGGGGTTAAGGAAGTCGGGGTAGTTTACTTTCCCAGGCCAGGATTCTCCTTCGTAATCAGTTCCATTTCTCTTGAGAAAGACTCCTTCTTTCATGCCTCTGAAGAATGTGGCGTAGGTTTCGTTGACGCTGATTCCTGGGTTTAGCATAAGCACGTACCTTTGTCCGTTTGAATGAAGCCGATCCACGAAATTCTTAAACTTGTCTTCCGGATAGTTGATCGGATCGATAGTGAAATCCTTTCGGCCATCCATGTAATCCATATCAGACCAAATGGCTTCCATAGGAATTCCAGACTTTTGATAGCCGGAAAGTACACCTTCCATATCTGCTATGCTCCTGTATCCCCAACGGCACTGATGGAACCCTGCACATAAATACAGTTTTACAAACCCGAATAACTATGTTGCAGTGTTATACATGCGGGAAACAATGGTTCGTATATAATCTGTTCATGCTATCCGCTTACCAAAAGACCAGTGTGGCATTGGAGCAGGACGACCGATAAGCCCGGTATACTGCTCAACAACATTTTCTGGTGTGGGTCCAGCGAAGAAGTAGAAATCGAAAACCCCCCCAGTCACCTTGAAAGTAATGTTATCTCCACCGTACAAAACATCCATCCCGTTACTATTGAGCAGCAACACCCCGTGACTGACTCCTGCCTGATACTGAACATTAGGTGATGAGGACCTGACATCCATATAAAACGGGTGCGACCCGTAAAGATTTTTCCCGACCTGCGAAGCAGGCATATCTGCGTTCCAAAGTGTCAAGGTCTCATGCGGTAACAACCTAAATGTTCTTCTAGTGTGCTCTCCTAGGCCATAGATTGAAGCTCGATCACCAGGAAGCGAGGAGGTAAGTTCCAAGTATCGGTCTTTGAAGATAATTCCAGGGTTGGTGCCAAGAGTATCGAAGAGGATGTCGCCTGTAGAGCGGCGAGTGACGGTGAAGGCGACTGGAGAGGTGTCGTGGAGGGTGAGCACGAGGTCTGAGTCATTCGCGGTGAGCACATGGTTTTCTGGAGGAGAGTTACCATTATGAATAGTCTTGTTGATGTTGATGGTAGTTGGGATATCTCTTGAGATTACAGTTTGTGGGATTTCGTATCTAGGGTTTTTTGTGTCTGTTATTCTGACTCGTAATCGATCCTTGGTCTCAAAGCTGCAGACGTTAGAACAACATGTTTTGATTTTATTGACATTAGGCATCACATTCTCCAATTATATCATAAATCACACTCAAAACTGTAAGGAGGATGGAAGTATACAATGCAAGCATATGTGTCTGTTATATACCCTTTGAGGGGAATTTGATGAATGTCCACATTTAAAAAGTATAACAAATTACATAATATTACATTATTGTGACTACATTTACTTCTGATTTTGTAACTTCCAATGGTAGTAACCAGTTGTAAGTCATTCATGTTCCACCAGAGCTAGGAAAGAAAACCAGTAATCTTTTTTTTTTCCCCTTCACGATTTATACATTATATATTTCGATTCTTTAAAACTCTCAAATGTTCATGCATATTTTCTCCTGATTCGTCTTCTTGCATATCAGGTACATAGCAACTAAAAGAAGCTAGCATGTCCTATAATGGTAATGTTCTCGTAGATGGAGTACATCTGTAAATTTTATAACACATTGTCCATATTTTCAGATACAATCTTAAATCTGGATGAAATTACCTGTACTTTGATATTAACGGGCATAACCGAAAACCTAGAGAGAGACGCCCTTTTGTTGTATATTCTTCTTCATAAAAAGGTGTAAAATTACTTTTTTCAGCTAAGATATTACATCATAAGATATATAAAGATTAGGATTTGGTACCGCCAGACAAGCATTCGGATATTTTTAGTAGACGTTGGATATAAACACGCAGACTGAAAACAGATGTTATGCTACAACGCAACTTGATAAACAGATAGAAAATCAAAGAAGGGTGGCAGTAGAATTTTCCCTTACTTACCTTGCATATAGAGTGATATTCTGAATATCAGGTCCGAAAACCGAGGAATTTCGAATAAGAGTGAAGTTGGCGCTCAAAGATCTCCCTTCCGGGTCGGTCTTGACTGACTGCATTGCGTACCCATACCCGGCTGGTTCCTCGGATCGAACACCATCAGAAACGTAGAGGCAGAGGAGGAGGAAGAAGAATGAGAGACGAGTTGCAGTAGCAGCAGCAAAAGCCATCGTGGCTCTCTCTCTCTCTCTCTCTCTCTCTCTCTCTGCCTTGGTGAATAATTTAGGGAGAGTCCGCAGGCTTGAAGCCATTTTTATAATAGCCCATGAGCTGTAGTAGTAAGCACAAGCAGTGGGAAATAGTCTCGGCTACTGAAACGGATCAGAGTAACAGTTCTTTTAGTTGATGATGATTTGGCGGTCTGGACTGGGCTCTGATGTGTAGGGGGCCTTGACCAGTTCACTTTCTGCACGAGTTTATTCTGCTTTTGCAGGTAAACCCCACTACCCCACAATTTTTATAAGAATAATCCTCCTTCTAACTTTATAATTTACCCACGCACGACGACTTAAATAAAATTTTGTAATATATATTCGCTGATATTTTTTTTTCTTGGATGGATAGGTATGCTGTAGGAATTTGCAGTACATATTACAGATTAAATCTTTAGGCATAGTGCGTATGAAGACTAGGTTAGTTTTAACAAAAAATGAGCGTGCAATTATTAACACTTCCCCCTTGCATAGATGGTTGTCAAGTACAGTCGAATTTAATAAAGCACTATTGCCGCAAATTCATCTACACCAATCTAACCAACAAGAAAAAGGATTAAGGAAAAAAAAAAAGTTCGTCTGTTTATATAGAAAAGAGAACTAAGAAAAAGAAATATGGCATAAAATGCCACCATTTGATTCAGAAACAAGACGCTACTAGATGTAACTGCAAATTCTATCGACGAGATTCATAAAGCAACCAACAAGCATAAAATGTTATTCTTATTAGGTTCAGCGTATCATCCTCAAGAACGTAAAAAAGGAAAAGCACGTACAGTAGCTTGTTCTCATCAGTTGAGATCTAGCATAATAGCTAATTGATTCTCCGTTGGGAATATTATAGGAAGAGATTAAATGGTAAATAGTTCATAATCCGGATGCAAAATTTCCTAAGACTTCTTCTTCGATCATTTTAGTAACGTAAAGTGGAACTATATCTTCCTCGTACTATTCGCTGGCCGGTTTTAAACTTATTTCCCCTCCCTACTCCGAAGGCAGTTGCGTGTTGGATTTAGTCTAGGTGACCTCCGAGGCAGCTTGATTGTAGCATCAGCATGTGCTTCTTTTGGTACTTGTCCAATATCTGTTGACAAAAAACCTCCCAAGTTAATTAAAAAAAAAAAAACTAGTGTTAACTGGACGTAATCATAAAGTAAATAAATCCTTACTGATATGACATGATACATTTATTCTTATGTTTTCCAAATTAAAACATGTATCATAGGTATGTACCTGTTGCTTTGTTGTTTGTTTGGTGTAATGTAGCCGGAAGACTAGAGAAACCTGGAGGAACATCTGGAAAGACTTCATCAATATCCTCAAGTTTAGGCTTTTTGCAAAAGTTATTTCCATCCTCAGCAGATGCTTGTGTAACTTTATCGGTTACTGAGTTAAACTTTTTCTCGATGGAGTTATTTCGTTGATTGCTGAAGCTGATCGTTGCAGCAGGAGCATTTGGTTCAATGCGGCAGACATTCTTTCTTCTCACCTTACGAAATATTCCCCATAGATACATCTCCTTACCTGTAACCCGTGTTTGATAGTAATAAACGTGAAACTCAACTTTTATAGTTCAGAACAAAGAGGAACCAAATACAAGTCATTTACACGTCAGAGATTTTCTTTTTCACGCTTTTAAATGGTAATTCATATACACAAGGTTTTATATTATCCGAGCGAAGGTTTTTAACAAGTTGCTTCCAAATACCATTTCTCATTGTTTTAGCTCTCGCCTTGCTACTCATCTATCATGAATTTCTCATATTCATCTAAATAAATTTATGGACAAGTTTATTCATGTTGTTAATTTTCCAACACTACTCACACGGGGGCTCCTAAGAAAAACAAACAGAAAATATATGAAGCATAACAATTGTTAGCATGAAAAACATGCGCATCTACCTAAACATTCAAAATGCTTACACAAATCTTTTACCGCATATAGTCGACCACAGATTAATTTTCTTAAAGAGTTCACCAGATATATGCATGGACCCACTTTTTTCTTTGAGAAAAAGATATACGCACGAACCTACTGAGATGTAATCAAATAATGAAAAAGAGACTCACTTTCATTATCTGTAGACAACTGTTCAGATGAAAATATCATTAACTCTATGTTTCCCACTTGACTTAGCAGAGAAAAATCATTGGCATTTATATACTTCACAAGGTGCATGTAGTTCTCTTTAGACCTACAGTTAAGGAGATGATAAAAAATAGTTAGCATCATATATGAATTTATGTCTAACTAAAGTACAAAAGAAACAAATGAAATTCAAATGAACAAAAACTGAGTTTGGGGACCAAACCTCTCATGTTTGGAGGGGAGGAAGTATAATGCAACATCTTGATGATCGACAGGATCTATTTGAAACGCTGTTGGCCAAATCCTTATGCGAGGCAGTACATTAAACTTTAAATTTGCATCCATAGTTTTTGTAATGTCAACCGCTTTATCAGACACTTGGTGAGGTAAATGTGCTTGGACACCGAAGCAACCCTTGAATTTCGTAACATCAATATGGAAAGTCCCCCTAAAAAAGAGGAGCCATAGTTGTTAAATCGTGTAAATTTAGAAATAAAAGCAACAAGACAAATTGAATATGTGAGATGACCTATTTATTTTGTGAAATTAAGCGTAAATTAGAGTTGGATAAAGAATATAAACTTTTCTTGTATTAACGCGTCAGGAAAATTTTATACCATATATATATGGTCAACTCAATCAATTATGTTTTGACAAGTTGGAACTTTGAGAATGATTCTAAAATTGACTCTGACGTGATATCAATGACTATGATAGTAAAGATACTTTTTTCTATGTTACATCCGAAAGAAAAAAGAAACCTTAAAAAAGCAAAAAGTATGGAGATGTTCCTTCTCACTTGAAGCTAATGCGACAAATAAGCAGTCCTTTAAAACTACTCCTTGACATAAAAGGGCATAAAATAGGAGGCAACAAACACAATCTATATTAAAGTTTTACCTAACTTTCGAAGTCATCCCCAAACAGAAAAGGAATAAGTCAATAATCTTTTTGCTAGATTACAATGAATTCATCAATTTTCTCTTTATCCTCAAGGAAAGAGAAATTTCAGTGAGAAAAGGAGAAAAGGAGAAAAAGGAGATTATCTGTGGAGAGACTCCACATATAAAGAAAATAATGCTGCACAGAAAATCTAGTAATTACTAGAAATTCCTAGAAGTGACATAGTCTTTGCTTACTTTTCTATGTTGCATGTGCGTGCTGGATTAGCCACAGAAATGCTTAGCACTGCTTGCAGTGTCATCCCAAAAGTTATATATGCAAGTCACTAGCACACCCTCAGGGTCTTTATTTAGTGTTATGCAGGAGAAGTGATAGCCTATTGAAAACGAAAGGCAAATTAACTCAAAACTTACTTTCTTTCCAGTATCAATTGCTCCCGAGCCCTGACAGATTTTAATGCATCTTTCTTATAAAGATAAGCAAATATCCCGCACATCAATTATACTCTTGCTCAAAGACATATCAAGTATGAATCCCTTTCATACAAACTCATGCACCAATATGGTAAAAGTCGATTCATATTTAGCATTATCATGGTCAAGGAGGATACTTACTCCCAACATATTGCTGAGGTGAGACCACCGGGAAAACTGGGATTCGGATCTGCGAGTAGCATATATGGTTGAGCTATGCCTGCAGAAATCACCACAATTAAAATGGATGGAGTGAATTTACATATGTCTGAATAAACTTTTTTTCCTCACAGAATCTGCAGTCAGTTTTCAGGTAAAAGGACATTTACCATTTATTTCTACAAACAGAAATTAGAACAATAGATGGGTTCATTTTCTTACCTGACCCTCTAATTCGTAATAGGCCTGCAGCAGTTGAATCGCAGCAGTAGCCAGATGTCATATCAACTGCACTTACTTTTTTAATGCTTATTGTAGAAAGAGATAATAGAGAGAGCAAAACCCTAACTTTTTTATTAATTTTTATTCAGAGACTATATATATATATATATATGGAGTGAATATGAGACACACTATCTTCTTCTCCCAAGCATCTCTGACAAAATTACAGTCAACTTCAATATGTTTTGTCCTCTCATGAAATACAAGAATCTGTGTAATATAAATGACAGATTGGTTGTCACAATGCATAGGCATAGGTTCGGGTTGAACTAAACCAAGTTCTGTCATAAACTTTCGTAGCCACACCATCTCACAAGCAGTGTGAGCCATTGCTCTATATTAGCCACACCATCTCACAAGCAGTGTGAGCCATTGCTCTATATTCGGCCTCTGCACTAGACCGTGAAACTACATCTTGTTTCTTGCTTCTCCAAGTGACAAGATTACCTCCAATAAAAGTACAGAAACCTGAGGTTGACTTCCGGTCTCCCATATCTCCTGCATAGCCAGCATCAGAGAAAGCAAAAATGTGAGTATACCCATGCTTCTTATATAGCAATCCCTTACCAGGGCAACTCTTGATATATGCCAAAATCTTCAGAGCATCTGTCCAATGAATTTTTCTAGGTTTGTACATAAACCTACTCAGTACACCCACTACAAAGGTAATATCAGGTCTGGTAACTGTCAAATAGATTAGTTTACCAATCAGTCTCCTGTATCGTCCAACATCATCTAGTAGAGAGGTATCATCACGCCACAAATCAATATTTGCCTCCATTGAAGTGTTTGAAGGTTTGCATCCCGAGAGACCTGCTTCTTCTAATAAATCTAGCACATACTTCCTTTGGGACAACAACATGCCATGCCTTTGATATGCAATTTCAATCCCAAGAAAATATTTTGGCTTTCCCATGTCCTTAGTGACAAAATGACGGTTTAGATACTCCTTAGTCTTTACTAAGGCAACAGAGTCACTCCCAGTGAGCAGAATATCATCAACATAAACGGCTAAAATAACCAAACCAGTTGTTGTGCGTCGAAAAAAGACAGAGTGATCAGAATGGCAACGTTGGAAACCAACACTAGAAATAACCTTGCTGAATTTATCAAACCAAGCTCGAGGACTCTGTTTTAACCCATAGATGGCCTTTCTCAGTCTACAGATAATATTCTCCCCCTGAGCAACATACCCAGGAGGTTGCTCCATATAAACCTCCTCGTCCAAATCACCATAAAGAAAAGCATTCTTCACATCTAGTTGATGCATATTCCAATCCAGATTAACAGCCAGAGAGAAGAGAATTCGAATGGAGTTGAGACGCGCATCAGGAGAAAAAGTCTCAAAATAGTCAATACCATATGTCTGGATATATCCTTTAGCAACCAGGCGAGCTTTATATCTATCAACAGACCCATCAGAACGATATTTTAAGGTATACACCCATCTGCAGCCAACCATAATCGCTCCAGTAGGGAGAGAGACCAAGTCCCAAGTCCCTCTAGAAAGCAGTGCATTCATCTCCTCATCCATAGCCTGTTTCCAGGCGGGTACTAACAAAGCTTCCTCATGTGACCTGGGTAAAGATATAGTGAACAAGGACAAAGCAAACTGACGAAAGGATGGGGTGAGACGGTCATAAGAGATAAAAAGAGAGAGAGAGAGGATATTTTGGGCAAGACCGTTTACCTTTCCGAAGAGCAATAGGAACATCTAAGTCAGAAGAGATATGAGGCTCGACATGAGATGGACCTGCAGCTGGAGAAGAAGAGTCAGCAGGAGCAGAGACAGGTGTATGTACTTTAGGACGACGAGAGTATGTCAGTAGAAGCTTTGGTGCAGTAGCCACAGGAGCAGATACCGAAATAGTAGTGGGAGCCGTAGAAGGTAGTGGTACCTGTGGACTGACGGAGGTAATGAAACCAGAGGAAAAATATGAGACAGACTCAAAGAAGGTAACATCAGCAGAAACAAAATATCTCCTGGTGATCGGATGATAGCACATATACCCTTTTTGAGTACGTGAGTATCCAACAAACACACACTTAATGGACCTAGGAGATAATTTATCCAACCAACAAACACACACTTAATGGACCTAGGAGATAATTTATCCAAACCAGCAGTCAAATCCTGAACAAAACACGTACAACCAAGATAATTTATCCAAACCAGCAGTCAAATCCTGAACAAAACACGTACAACCAAAAACTCGAGGAATCACATAAAAATGTTTTTTAGCAGGATAAAGACAGTGGAATGGTATCAAACCATCAAGAACAGAGGAAGACATTCGATTAATCAAATAACATGCAGTGAGGACAGCATCAGACCACAAGTACTTTGAAATATTCATATGTATCATCAGTGTTCTAGCAACATCGAGAATATGTCTATGCTTCCTCTCAGCAACTCCATATATTCCAAAGCATTATCAGTACGAAGAATATGAACAGAAGTAGAGAACTGGGTTTTTATTTTTTATTATAAAAAAGTTTAATAACATGCGAGACTTCAGACCTCTCTTTCAACAAATATAGCCAAGTCATGCGAGAGAAATCATCAACAAAAACAATGAAATATCAAAAACCCTTCACAGATGGAACACGACAAGGACCCCAGACATCAGAATGAACTAACTCAAAGACAAAACTACTGCGTTTATCGACACGACTCTGAAAAGAAGCACGATGGTGCTTACCCAGTTCACATGACTCACAATCTAAAGAAGAAATAGAAGACTGAACAGTAACTACTGATCTAAGTTTCTGTAGTGAAGGATGACCCAGACGCCAGTGCCACAGTAAGGTAGAATCAGGCTGTGCTGCAACAAGACCAGCACCCGACACACTGTCGTCCAAATAGTACATACCTCCTCTCTCATGCTCCGAACCAATCGTCATTCCAGTTGCTAGGTCCTGAAAAATACAATAAGAAGGAAAGAATGTGACTTTACAGTTATTGTGCTTTGTAAACTTGCTAATGGATAATAAGCTAATAGGGAATTTAGGAGCATATAACACATCATTGAGTTTTAAAGAGGAAGTAGTATGAACTACTCCAGCACCAAGAACTGGAGAAAGTGTACCATCAGCGATGCGAATAGAGAGAAACTTATTAGAAAGATGTAAAGAAACAAAACAATCATTTATACCTGTCATGTGGGATGAGACTCCAGAATCTAGTACCCATGGTTCATGAGGAGAAGCTATGTAAGCATTCATACCTGAAGAGGATGCATGGGTAGCCGAATGACTGTTCTGAGAGAGCTCTATCTGGCGTAACCTCTCATAATCTGCCTGAGAGATCTGAACAGTAGGAATAGTAGCAGCTGGATTACTAAAAGTGGCGTAACCTCTCATAATCTGCCTGAGAGATCTGAACAGTAGGAATAGTAGCAGCTGGATTACTAAAAGTAGTAGTAGAAATAGGTGAGCGAGTCGACTCGGCATCGGCTACTTGGGCCCATTGAGGACGATCAAACTTCTCCCAGCACTTCTCAGAAATATGATTGGTCCTCTCATAGTGACCACACTGACGTGAACCCCTATCAGAATCACCATGTCTCCCACTAAAGGAGCCACGTCCTCCCACAGAATCACGATCACGACCATGACCACGACCGCGGCCTCTGCCTCTACTAGAGAACATGACAGACTGATCCAATGAAGGTGGAGACGGTGCAGAAGTATCAGAAGAAACACCAGTAAATACCTACATGACTCTGAAGAATGTAGCAGTCAGTGAGGGGATGGTATCTCCAGCCAATATCTGTCCTCGCACCTGGGACTGTAAGGTAGGGTGCAATCCAAAAAGAAACTTGGACACTGCCAAGTCACGGCGATATCCCAACAGCGTCGCCGCATCAGCTACTGCAGGCTGATGCATCTCCAGTTCGTCTATCAGTCCCTTTAACTTACCAAAAAACTCCGGAATTGACCTATCTCCCTGTTTGAGCGCAAACAATCGCTCATAAATCTCAAATACACGGGAAGCATTCTTCTTATTTCCGTACATAATCTTCAGGCTATCCCACATCTCCTTCGCAGTGGTTAAGAACATAACACTGCTACTAATTTGTGATTCTGTGCTGTTGAGGAGCCACGTCATAACACAATAATCAAACGAGAGCCAGGAACTGTAAGTAGGATCTGTGGTGGGTGGAGGAGAGGCCAGAAGATGTGAAAGTTTGCTCTGAGCGCCAATGAAGATGCGGAAAGCCTGAGACCAGAGCAGATAGTTTTTACCATTCAATTTTATTGTAGTCCCCAAAACTACCTTGGGCGCAGAAGTCTGACCAACAGCAGCAGAGGGAGATGTAGAAGAGGAGAGATATGTTTCCGACATTATTGCACAGTTGTGATAGGCAGATAGTAGTCAAATAGCCAGGGCAGTAGTAGAGATCTATTCTTTAAACATAGACTAAGAGCAGATCAAAAAATAGGCAGTAGTAGATGATCGGATCGGAGCATATGTGGCCTTGAATCACCTATTCAAGGCCATGGAAAAAAAACAAAAAAACAAAACAAAGCGGCGCGGTACTGTAGCGGCGCGGAGCAAAAACCCTAACTTAATTAATTCATTCAGATACTAGAGAGAGATATATATAGTCATACAAATAGGGGTATGGTTAACGGGTCACAGCCCATTAACCCAATACCTAATAGACTTAATCTAACACCTATCTTTGGAGGGCATTCCTCATAAAGTTTTGCAAATGGCTTGTATCCTGGAAATCAGTAAGGAAACACAGAAGGGATGCATGCATACGACGAGTCATTCACACAAAAGCAGATTCTGATACATCAACAGTTTGAAATCAAATGCAATTTTATCACTCCTTACCATGAGTATCTAGGAGCTCACTGTCAACAGTATTGGCAGG